GCTCAGCGGTTGAGCGCCGACCTAGGATCTGGGCGATCAGGGTTCGATTCCCGGTCAGGGCACAAGCCCGGGTTGCGGGCTCCATCCCCATTCGGGGGCCTGCAGGAGGCAGCCGATCAATGACTCTCTCATCATTGATGTTTCTCTCTCTCTCTCCCTCTCCCTTCCTCTCTCTGAAACCAATAAAGATATATTTAAAAAAAAACAAAACAGAAAAATTGACACGATGCTTTAGAAGAAAAAAATTGCCAATGATTACCCCGCATCCCTGCCAAAAAACATCTGAAGAGTTTCTCTTTTGGACAGATAATGAAGATCTTTGCATGGCTCCTTTCGCGAAAATCCTGCTTCCCTCGAACAGCGCTCTAGCACTGGCCATTGGAAGACTCAACCCGCGCAGGTGAGGCCGCCTGCGAGTGCGGTTGCCCGCGGACAGCAGCGGCTCCAGGGCACATTTGCTGGGAAACTATGGAAGTGTCAGATGTCTGAATTTCTTTGCCTGGGCATCGTAGGGTTGAGAGCATTTATTTATAACAGGGGAGGTTCTGAAATTGGCCACTTATCAGCACAAAAAAGTAACTTCCAGAATACCACTGCCGAATGAAATGAAAATTCATTTCCTTCTCTCTGTTCACACAAATAGCAGCAGAGCTGGGCACCGAGATACTTGGTGAGCAGTTTCATTACGGAACAGCCTGGTTACTGGAACTGGAGAAATTTGTAGATAGGTATGCGACACCTTCTAGGACTGGATAAATGGACATTAACTCCTGGCGCTAGTTTAACCCCTGACTTCCCAACCTGTTATGGGTTTTTGCTCTGTTTTTGAGACAGAAGGCCAGAAATATGTATCACCTAGATATCTTTAAAAAAATTCCAAAATGTCAAAATTTACTATTGAAGTAGAAAAATGCCCCAAATTCTAAGTCCAGTGTTTTACTTCATGCTTATAATTCAGGGCTCCCATGAGAAATAAAACCTAAGTGAGCACAGAGAGTGCAAAATAGGAAATACTCTGAACACTACGGCTAAATGTTGTTGCTTATGGTAGTAAAACAAAGTTCTCTTAGAGAAAATGTTCTTTTTAAACAGAACCACCAAATTCTAATATACACTGGGGAACATCAAATTATAAAAGTGTTTGCTCACATTATTGCACAATGAACGTGAGCCATATGTTCATAACTACCTGCACGTCGACAAGCTAAACACTGTCACGGTTCATGTCATCAGTGTGTTGGGTTGCTGGTGATCTGGAATCCTTTGGGGAATATATTTTTCAACAATAACCAATTATCCAAAGGATGTTACAAGTGCCAGTCGAGTAATTTCATAGTAGCAGTTTCTGCCCTCTAGTTGTGCAGAAATTGGTGCTGTGTGTGTGTGTGAAGTGTTGCTTCTCAGGGAGGTGATTGATTAAGGTATAAATATTAACATTAAGCTATAAATCTCTTTAGGAATTATATCATTTTGCCAATCTCTTTAAGTAAAATGAGTTGACTAGATTTAGGTGCCTGAGGTCTATTGCCACCTAGTGTTACGTTATTTCAAACGAGCACAGAAGAATGGAACTTACTTGCCTCCTCCCCCACGCCGGCCCCAGTGCCTCATTTCTGCCTCCACTTCAAAGTCACCAGGTCTTGTCAGTGCAGGATTTCACAAATTTCTTTTTAACATTGCCACTGACAACCTAGCATTCATGCTCATCCTGTTGAAACTTTAAGGCCTTAGTCAGCTTAATGGGCTGTATGTTGACCATATACTATCTTTCGGCAAGTTATTTAAGCTCTCTGGGCTTGTTTCCTCATTTCTTAGGTAGGAACAGTAATATCTATTTCATAGTTTTATTAAATGAGTTAATATATTTAAAATGCTTACAATACCTGACATATGCAAATATTTAATGTGTTAATTATCATACACCTTAAATCATATTTGAGTCCTTAATGGGAATAGAGGTGATGGAAATAGTCTCTATTACTTTCCATTTTATGGTCAGAAGGCAGAAGTTGGGTTCCCTATGACAACTGGGCTGAGAGGCCTATTCTGGATAAAGTCTTTTGCAAATATTTTCACCCAGTCTGTAGCTTATCCTTTCTTTCTCTTAGCAGTGTCTTAAACAAAAAGTTTGAAATTTTAAGTTCAGCTTATCAGTTTTCTCTTATGGATTATGCTTTTGGTGTCATGTCTAAGAACTCTGCCTGCATCAGGTCATGGAGTTTTCTCCTATTTTCCTCAAAATTTTTTTTTCTTCTTTTACATTTAGGTCTATTATACATTTTGAGTTAATTTTTGTAGAAGGTGTTAAGTTAGTGTTTCTTACCATCCAAGTCACTTGCAAATGCTCATTTGTTAATACAGATGTTATAACATCTAATGTATCTCATCTTTTGAAATGTCTTTTCACACAGATATGTACTGTCAAGTACTGATACCAATCACCAAACATGATTTTGAGTCAATTCCTCACTTGTACGGCGTTTGTAGAATTCTGTTAGCTTCCTCTCTTGATATTTGCCTTTTAGTAGGTCATTCATTACACTGAACCTTCAGCTGAAAGGTAGGTGGAAGCTTTGCAATCCCAGTTAAGTGGATTTTGAAATATGGAAACTTTCTTTGCACTTGTATAGGGGTCTGGAACTGTAGTTTGAGGCTGGAAAATGCATCTGCTACAAATTTGTGTGGGTATGATCGTTTTAACTTTTGACAGCACAGAAAGCAGCGATACATTCCTCATATTCAAGTGTTGTCATCAAAGTCACTTTAGTACCATATTAGGTTCAAATATAAGTGGTGCTCTGACTTGTGATTCTAAGTTGAATTCACTGACTTAAGTTCATTAAGAAACATCAAGTCTTTAGCATAAGCCAATTTCCAAAGACTTTCAGTGTTTGAGGGAGGTTCTTCTCATTCAGAAATTTGCAGTCTTGCCCGGTTGGGCGTGGCTTAGCGGTTGAGCTTCGACCTAGGACCCAGGCGATCAAGGTTCGATTCCCGGTCAGGGCACATGCCCAGGTTGAGGGCTGCAGCCGATCAATGACTCTCTCATCATTGATGTTTCTATCTCTCTCTCTCTCCCTCTCCTCTCTCTGAAATCAATAAAGATATATTAAAAATAAACAAATAAATAAATTTGCAGTCTTGGCCCTGAAGTCAAAACGTCGCAATACTTTACCACCTAGCCAGCAAACTGCCGGGCAGTAGGGCGAGTCAGAATATTTAGTGTCTGTCAGAAACCCCTGCAGCTGACAATGGCTAAGCCCACAACAAATGAAGTACACCAGTGACGTCAGAGGCTCACGTATTTTTAAAGCACTTGCTGGTGACAATACAAAGGACAGGCTTTCAACACCTTGTATTTTCACTCTACCCCTGTCTAAGCTTTTTCTGTACCTTCCCACCAGCAGCTGTGGCACATCTTGGAAGATCCCACTTCAGTTGTGCTGTGTGAATTTTTTCTCGACTTTGAAAATATTTTTGCTTATAGTTGTTCCACAGATGGACAATACATAGAGGCGAATTCTTCAGTCATTTCTAGGGCGACAGACTGCATTAGCCTGGGGCTGAGGTTCCCGCAACATGGGGCTTGCAGTTACAACCAGAAAGGCTCTGGGCAACCACGAACTGGTCAGCCTGGCACTCCCAACTCCACATTGACGTTTCAGAGTCTGCTGAACAGCACTGGTATTTTAACTCCCTAAGCGCCAAGGAACATTCAAAATCATTTGTCCACCACCCCAAGTCAAGTCTCCTTCCATCGCCAGTTTCATTGGCCTTGTTGTCAAACTATTATTTGCTCCCTTACCTCTTCAAGCAACTTTCTTGCTTAAAGGCTGTCTTAAATTAAAAAGTTCCTTTTACTGGACACATTTCTTCAGCTGCTGCAAACACAACAGTCCTTGTCATTGGTAAAGGGCTTTCCTTGCTTGGCTAACAACACACTTGGAAACATTACAGCCTTGCTGTAATTTTTTGGGTCAAAAATTGTGCTGATATATTCCATCTAAAATATTTAATTCTGCCCGGCCGGGCGTGGCTCAGCGGTTGAGCATCGACCTAGGATCCAGGCAATCAGGGTTCGATTCCCGGTCAGGGCACATGCCTGAATTGCGGGCTCGATCAATGACTCTCTCATCATTGATGTTTCTATCTCTTTCTCTCCTTTCTTCTCTCTGAAATCAATAAAGATATATTTAAAAAAAAAAATTTAATTCTTCTGGCTGTTGCCTTTTGGGGTTGGGAATATCATGAGTCAACACATGTGTGCTTTTAGCACAGCTGTCACTGCAACAGACAATGCTCTGCCTTCTGAATGGATAAAACAATCCAGTCCACTGAGGGTGTTTTCCCTTCTGACAAGATACATGAGCACTGGTACTAAAAATAGGTAAAGTTCATGGTACTTTGATACATGTGGCACACAGGCCATCGAACTAAAACCGTGTCACTGCCATCTGTAGTGCACCCAGCAGCGCCAAGCAATGTGGACCACATATGGTCTACACCACAACTAAACCCTTGTATACAAGCACAAATGCAGCCACCTCAGCCCACCATCACATTAAAGATTTAACAAATACTGGATAAAAAATGTTTGGTGGCAGTTTTCAATGAATCTAGATTAGCTACTACAAAAGCACATTTCAAGGGCATCAGAAACTTAAAAATATCTGAGGTGAAAGCCTATTTTACTTTGGCATCCAAGGCCGACTTGCATACAAATTGTAAAAAAAGTTTATTTACTGGTCACTGTTTGAACCATGAAATACAATTCCATATTGATATTGATATAAAACGGTAGTTAGTAATCCACACTAGCTTACCAAAAACTAACTTAGCACTAGAGTAAAATGACCATGTACAAGTAAATGAGTGTGTTAATATTTGACTTGCTTTCTCACTGTCCATAACTTCCAGTTTCAACCACCCAATGTTGAAGTCTCAAGTACCCTGTGGGATAAATGTGCACATCCTAACAGAGAACAATGCAGACACTCAAGCAAGGTTGTATTTTCTTTATTTAACAAACACTGCAGTTTAGTATTTAAACTTGCAGATGAGCCTTCCATCCAGGCAGAGTCACAAAGACAGGTATGAAAACTAGACGAGACTGGGACAGAGGCAGCGTGAGCCTGGCTGCTGAAGGACAGCGTGCGTGCCTGCGTCCCAGCCGGGCAGGCAGGCGTTACTGCCTGCTGTCCTTCTGACCTGAACCAACCGTGTTTCCTCCGATAACCTCGTCAACAGCTGCATTCACTGTATCTAGTTAAATACAAAAAGAGTAGCCCTCATAATAAAACCACATTTTCCGGAAGAAGTATCAACATAACATTGAAAATCACTGACTGCTTTTTTTTCGTCTTTTTTTCCTCGACTGTGTAGGTGTTTTGGTCACTTGTGTCTCTTTTTTGCCAGATAAGGGCTGTTTGAAAACTATTTCATCATCTTCATCATCATTCATTTCAGCCGCTTCGGATTTTCGTTTATCCAAAAATGTTGGTGTACAATCTGGTGTGGGGTCCTGAATGCCACAAGTAAAAAATTGTAATACAGAATCATGGGAAGACATGAGGAATGACTTTACCCCCTCTCCTCACAAATACCTCCCCTCTATTTTCCCAAGTTTCACTGTGTTATTTCAGGCCTGCTTCCATCTTTCGGTGATATAATTGCACAGAATAAAGAGCTTAGGTGCTTATCAAACTTAGTATAAAAATTCACAATTGATTGTAAATAACATGCTCCATTATAGTGTATGAGCTAGAAAACTCTAATCTTACATTTACAGAAACAGTGGCCTCCTTTCTAACTTAGTCACTTTGCTTAAGAGGTAAAAACTGCAATAATAAACCCACGATGATAACTCTTGCTAATAAGCTCACTGTATCTGCTAAAGCCACAAGATTAAATTTGAAATTTTAACAAACCAACTATAGCAGGAACTGTTTCTCCTCTTTTGAATTTTATTACCCGATTCCCAAAATATTAAAGACACTATACCTGGCCATCCACAGTCTTCTGAGGGCTGTTAGGAGTGGCTGAAACATTTTCTTTCTTCTTAGGTGAAGCCTTCAATAAATTTTAAAAAACTTTATCAATCTGTACATCAGTTATAGTGGTCTGAATATATTTTCCTATTTATCTTTCTCTAACACCTGGCACGTAATGTAAAGGAAAGTTTTACCTGGCTCTTTGTGGATTCCCGAAGATGAGTGTTTGCAGCATTGCTTTTCTCCTTTTTATGTAAAATCTTAAGGAAACACAAAGAAGTTATTACCTGGCACTATCACATATTTACATTTTTAACTTACATTGGTTCCTACGTGGAAGTGGGGCTGAACCGTGGGGCCATCCTAGAGTCCTGCTCCAGTGGGCCAGCTCCTACATGGTTCAGGAGACCAGGGCCCATGGACTGGGGCCCCACACACACTGTTAAAGGCTATGTTTGGGGTTTATGCAAAGAGTTAAGAGCCAGAACTGGGCCAAAGGAGGTAACTCAGTCTTCTAGTTTCTGGCTAAGATTAAAAGACTTAGTAAACTTGGGAAGAGATGCCATCTCTCACCAACAAATTAGCTGTTTAGAAATAAGCTGAAAGGGTCTATGGAAGATCCAAAGCAGCCTCAAGATTTAGTGAAGAAGCACGATGTTCACCTATCCGAGCCACGCCCTAATGGCCTGTGTTCTTGTTTCGTAGTGAAAAACACACAGCTCTTCACTGGGAAAGCAGGAGTTGTAGTCAACGAGCCAGGATGTGGGAACTGATGACACTCTGTGCTAACTCAGGGTCACGTACTCAGGCTCACTGCATTCCAACCCCTGGTCCCTTAATTCACAGAGGTGATGCTGACTGCTGATATCCGATATGCACTTTAAGAATATTTCCAGTTTAGCCCAGGTGGTGTGGCTCAGTGGTTGAGCATCGACCTATGATCCAGGAGAGATCCCGGTTTGATTCCCAGTCAGGGCACATGCCCGGGTTGCAGGCTTGATCCCCAGTAGGGGGCGTGCAGGAGGCAGCTGACCAATGACTCTCTCATCACTGATGTTTCTCTCTCTCCCTCCCTCTCCCTTCCTCTAAATTCAAGTTATTTTTTAATTAAAAAACATATATTTCCAATTTAAAATAACAAGAAACAAAATTTTAACTAGAACGGCATAAAAAAGATTTAGTCTTCATGTTTACTGATAACATATAATACCAAACATCATTTAATCCTGGTAATGACACTTTTAATAGAAATCTAGAAGCATTATGGTTTTGGTTAAATCGTGGTTTAACTTCAATAATTTAAAACAGATCACGAAAGTCTGCAAATCAGCAAACCCCTTTCTGAAATTTCCTCCCCCACACAATGGAGACCATTGGATCTGCTCCGACACTTTAGGAAGAACTGACAATGCAGTGCCTCAAAAAAGCTGTCAAACCCTGGCGTGTGGAAAGCACTGGGTTAGGCACTTTAGACAAGCATGATCATGTTACAGCTAGTGAGGTACAGAGCCCACCCCCAAGAACAAACGCAAAATATATTTCATGAAGGAACATTTACCAATGAAGGAAAATCATAATGGATTCCTTTCTTAGCTAGTCTCTTCCTCAGTAACTTTTCTTTCTTCTTAAATCGCTCCTCCATCCGCAGCTTCTGAAGAAGCGTCCGGTCCTCATTGTACCGCTTCACTGCTGGGTACGACGGCCTCTTAAACGGAAGATGCCACTCTCTAAAAAGCTCCTCGTGCACTTTCTCAGGTGGCATAAAATGACCTATAGGCAAAAAAGAACAGTGTTTTCAACCACGTGGGAGGGAGGTACACACAGCCGTTATCCACACGCGATCCACCCTGACACCATTTGGTTCACCTCCTCCGCCGCTTTCTCATTCATTAACCTGTGAGCGAACCCGGGTGCATGCGGCTGCTGGGACTCTGCCACAGCAAGAGGAAGCGAGAGAGGCCACGCAGGCAGGCTCACCAGCTGCCCATCAGATGAGTGTGACTTGGGTACCTGATGGTCACACTCCACCACGAGCACCCGGAACTTAACTCTGCCTTGAAGGGCCCCGGGATCCAGACAGGGCTGCGCCGGAATGTAAAGCCGAGGCTCTGGTTTCTGCAGGATGACGTCTAGTCTGGTGCTGTCACTGCTCTACTCCTACAGCTTCTCTTGCAGAAGAGTGAAGCCAATGCCATTCAGACCGACTCTGAAATGTGACTCCTCGCCATTACTGTTATCCCCTCTAGAACCCACTAGTGGTTTCCCACTCTCTCAGGATACATATGCTAAACTCCCAGACTTATAACGACCTCGGTGACCTAACCTCCCCGTATCGCTTCCATTTCTTCTCCCTCCTCCCTTACTCTCCTCCAGTCCCCCATTAGCAAATACCATCAGCCACCTCTAGTGTTGCATTTGCTGGCCCCGCAGCCATTATCTCAATCTTCATTCCCTTCCCTTAAACCTGGCTCACTCCTACTTAAACTTCAGATTTTAATCTACAAGATACTTCCTCAGGGAAGCCTTCCACAGACCATCAAGGTGGTTAGTTGCTCTTCCTATGTACTCCTAGTTACTCCCCAATTCCACCTCAGCATAAAAACAGCTCTCAATCTGGAAGATTTCAAAGTCCCCATGAGAGCGTATCTGAAAAATGCACTTAATCCCTTAATTACCCTTAAGAGGACCACCCAGAGAGAAAGTGGGATGTCCAAGCAGCTAAGCAATCTGTCTTCACACCATAGCCACCCATCAGCAGCAGGCAACCAGGCTCCCTATGCTAAGATAACCGCACTTACACTTCAAGAGTCTTTCACCAAAAAGGTAGTTGTTCATTGTTTCAGCAACTATCTTGGCAACATCTTCAGATTCAAACTCCACGAAGGCATAGCCTTTGCTATTTCCAGTCTGCAATTAAAAAAATCCACCACAAAAATGAGAACAATTAAATTCTAATGCAATTAAACTAAAATGCCATTAATTTAAATAACATACACTAGCCTCACTAGCAAATAACAATATAGCACCTTTAATTCCAACTGCAACTAACATAATATGGAAACTGTTATGGGAAAAGAGCGCAAAAAGGCTGAACATGCCACTGACCTCGAGGTATTCCTGGGATTTGATCACACATGATAAATCCATTAATACAGCTGGAATTTATTCAACAGCCAGCAACACCCCATCTTATGAAGGAAACCTAGTAGGGCCTCACGGTGCTTACTCATCACGGATCTCATTGGTAGTCATACTGTTCATGTTAGTAACACCCAGGAAATACTACGATGCTTCACAGAAATGCAGGTAATATAATACCCATTACAAACCCTTGATGCCTCCAAGCTAATCAATAAAATCATGCATTCATTTTCATGTTTATTTAGTGACCAGCCATCTAGTTCTCTGAAATGCCACCCTGGGTTCCCGACTTCCACATCACGACATAAAGTGGATTGTCTCACCCATCTTAGTAACAAAAGTATGAGTCTCGGAGTCCAAAGGCCCAGGTTTGGATCGTAGCTCTGACACTTGGGTAAGTAAACGTTAAGCCTCAGTTTTTAATTCTATAAAATGGGGACAAAATAACCACTCTTGTAGGGTTGCTATGAGACACAAAGTAATTGATAAGTGCTCCACATATTGTCTGCTAAGTACTCAAGTTACTGTAGGGTGGCAGAATATGCCATCCCCAAATATGCTACTTTGACCTAAGGATTACTTTGAAGGCAACTGTGAAGTAGTTACAAGAAATCCTCTCTGCCCTCCCCCTAGCTGCCTAAAAGCAAGACATACATTTACAAAGGTGTCTTCCCTCCTCTCTTCCAGAAAGACAAAGTTAGAGGAATCTACATAACAAACTTTACTATCATTAGTTTCCCCAGTATTTTCCTCCCACAATTTTCAGTCCTAGAAACTCAAAGCCCTTTTGTTTTGTCATTTCTCTAAACACTTATTCTTTGCTGAGATGCTATACAGGCCCAAGTTCTAAGCAACCCTTTGAGTCATGCACCTCTGCGTGCTCCCTTGTATAAGCATCCTTGTTTGCTTGTTAACCTCTTTTGCGGGTCCAATTTACAGGGTCCCAGCCAGAAAACTAGGAGGGTAGTAGAAAAAGAGTTTTTTCTCCCCCAGAGTTCCAATTATTAGTGGATAGAAATATTTTACAATCCTGCATTAAGCAACATGTTTTTGAATATAAATCAAAATTGGTGATGTGATTCTGGAAATAAGACACTGCTTAAAAGGTTTATGGCGTGGGAGTGGGAGACTCGTTTCTCCCACCAGCTGTGTCGTGAACTAGCAATTTGGATGTGTCCCCACTTGGAGTCTCAGTTTAGTTATCTACAACACAAGATTTTGGTAAAAATTTCAATGTTTGAGAATCTTTTCACAACCGCAACTCTCAATGGGGAGGGGAAAGATGGTAGATTGGAAAAGACACTGTGAAATCCAAGTTAATGAACCACAGTGTAAACTGATATAAGCCTTTTGAAAAGTGATGTGAAAATACATGTCAAGTGCCAACATCCCCCAACAAAAACCCTTTACCTAGGAACCCCAGAATGTTGGAAATACCAAGCAAATAGTCAAAACTGGGGAGGCTGGGGAAGGTGGAGTTTGACTGTGCAACAATGCTGGAAATGGTCAATATCTGTGCATCTCAAGGAGCAGAGTAATTGGCCCTAACTCTTCAAAATAGCCAATGTCAAGAAAAATAAAATAACTATTCTAGATAGGCTAAAGAGTTATACCAACCAAATGCAATGCCTGAATCTTGACTGGATCCCAGAACAGGTAGGGCAAACATTAGCTAAAGATTTTTAAGACTACTGGGGAATGTGTGAAGATGGAAAGCACTTGCTAGACTAGTATATTGTGCTGAAGAATGTCCTGATTCCTAGTAGATTCACGATGAAATATTTAGTGTTGAATCATTTAGTTGTATTACGATTGCTACTTTCTTCAAAAGGTTCAGTAAAACAGTGTGTGGGTTTTTATAGCTATGGAGACATAACGCTAATGTGTTGGGTGTTAACAATGGGTGAATCCAGGGGAGGGGAGGAATGTTCATAATATTATTGTTCTTTCCACTTCTCTGTAGACTTGAAAAATTTCAAAATACAATGCTGGGGGGACCTGGCTGGCATAGCTCAGTGGTTGAGCACTGACCTATGATCCAGGAAATCGTGGTTTGATTCCCTGTCACAGCACATGCCTAGTTTGGGGCTTGATCCCGTGTAGGCCATGCAGCAGGCAGCCGATCAGTGACTCTCTCTCATCATTGATGTTTCTGTCTCTCTCTCCCTCTCCCTTCCTCTCTCTGAAATCAATAAAAATATATTAAAAAAACCCAACAACACTGGGGGAAACAATGGTTATATTACAGTATAGAAAAACATTTACAAAGATCCCATAAAAGGCAGAAAAAAGTTTTTGAAAAAGACAATAAGGGCAAAAGATATGAACAGGCAATTCACAGAAGAGGGAATTCCAATGGCTAATCAACACATAATGACACTCAACAAAATCAATTTACTAGGTTAGAAAGGTAATAGTAAACAAGTGAACAGAAAGGTTCAGTGGTGTCTCATATGACTTTTGTTTCAGTTATGTTTACAAACATGCATATGTGTGCCGACTTCTGCTATAAAACTTTTCTTTTTTTTAATCGTCACCCAAGGATATTTTTCCCATTGCTTTTCAGAGAGATTGGGGGGGGG